ATTATTTTTGTTCGTTTAGGTGCAAAGTTTTTCCAAATAGATCTTGTTATTGTAAGGTTGGAGGGAAGTGTTATAGGTAGGCACATCCATGTTGGTGGCTTACTTATTCATGTGTTTGAACTCAATTATCCTAAGTGAAAATTTTTTTTTCTTTCTTTTTTTAATAAGACACTGTTTCTTCACTGTAATGTGTTGTTGACTGATACAATTTAATATTTCATTTGTGTGGTCCTTTGTAGGTGAACGGTGTTGCCCGATTACATAGTGACATTTTGAAATCTGAGTTATTTGCAGACTATGTCTCTTTATGGCCCACCAAATTCCAGAATAAAACAAACGGTATCACCCCTCGTCGATGGCTCCGTTTTTGCAGTCCTGAGCTGAGTGACATAATTACCAAATGGTTAAAGACAGACCAATGGATCACAAAACTTGACCTACTTGTAGGTCTTCGGAAAGTAAGTGTCAAGAAAATTTCTAGTGTATAAGCTTTCCTCTAGAAGTGCCTCTTCTTAATGGAATAATATTTACATCCTTAACTGATTGTTTGTTCGATAGTTTGCTGACAATGCAGACTTCCAAGCTGAATGGGCATCTGCTAAGATGGCCAATAAGCATAGGTTGGCCCAGTATATATTGCGAGTAACTGGTGTTAGCATTGACCCAACTAGCCTGTTTGACATACAAATCAAGCGCATCCATGAATACAAAAGGCAGCTACTGAATATCCTGGGTGCAATTTATAGATACAAGAAGTTAAAGGTAATAAAATCATCCTGATATTGTACAGTTTTGTTGTCAATCATGCATGTACAGGATATACATTACTTGGATTTGCTAGCCTTCCATGAAATATAAGCACGTTCACAATTATTTTTGCCAATTTACCAGACAGTGAGATCATATTAATCCACTTCAAGTTCAAAATGATTAATCACCATGTTTCCTAACTACAAGCACAATCACTTATATTTAAAAATTAACCTATTTGACCATATATCTTTTGTTTCTACCATTCTTAATTTGAAATAATATTCATAATCATCCACCCTAAAGAACTTTTATTCAAAATTCAACTTTAACTATCGAAGTGATCTATGTCAGGAGATGAGCCCTGAGGAGAGGAAGAAGACAACTCCTCGCACCATTATGATTGGAGGGAAAGCATTTGCAACATATACAAATGCGAAAAGAATTGTCAAATTGGTGAATGATGTCGGTGTCGTTGTCAATAATGATCCTGAGGTCAATAATTATTTGAAGGTAATTTATCATATTTCATCTGTTCATGCCAAGGTATTGGGCCTTTGCCTATCCCAGTGAAATTGCATTAGATGTCCCAAGTATGCGAAAAACTGTTTGTTATATTGCAGCACAGTAGATTGTTAGGACTCTGCTGGTTAAATTAAGCATCTGTGATTGTTAATGAGAAGAAGGTAATCCCACTAGTAATATCATTGGTTGACATATCTGGTATGGCTGCAGCAAAACTAATAACTTCCAGCATGCGTATTAAATTTGTGTAATTTGAAAAAAATAATCAAGAGTTTTTGATGGAGAAGATGCTAAAAAACACTATTTACCTGCGTGAATTCACTTTCCTGTCTCACAAAACTTTCAGGTTGTGTTTGTCCCAAACTACAATGTATCTGTGGCTGAGGTGCTAATTCCTGGAAGTGAACTATCCCAACATATCAGCACTGCAGGCATGGAGGCAAGTGGCACTAGCAACATGAAGTTTTCTTTGAATGGTTGCCTCATAATAGGGACACTGGATGGTGCTAATGTTGAAATAAGAGAGGAAATAGGTGAGGAGAATTTCTTTCTTTTTGGTGCAACAGCAGATGAGGTCCCGAAGTTGCGCAAAGAAAGAGAGAATGGATTGGTAAGAAAATATCTCTTTGCTCCGTCCCAACGCTGATATAATGGATGGGTGTGAATGACTGATACTTGGAGTTTGAGAGCTGTGATTGACAGACAATTCTTTGGTTTCACTACTAAACAGGATTAATGACATCATCCTTTTCCTATTAGCACAAAACACACGTTTTATGTGTTAACATCTGGAAGATTTTTCATATGCAACCAAAATATAAACTGGAAGGATTAGTTATTCAAAAAGCAGCAGAGGATCTGAAATAAATAAACTTTTAATGTATTTGTAACTCCCATCGATCAAAGATGACTCTGACCCTCTCATAAGCATTATTAACAAACTGTTCATTTAGATTTGAATATATGCACGTCTTTCACTTAAAAACAGCATGAATTGGTTACTGTTTCTGCTTTCATTTGAATCCCTTTGTTTTCCCAACAAGTGAGCAAGTTTTTCCTCTTACATTTATCCTTGTCAATACACAGTTCCAACCTGATCCTCGTTTTGAAGAGGCAAAGCAATTTATAAGAAGTGGAATATTTGGCAATTACGATTACACCCAACTCCTTGACTCTCTGGAGGGCAACTCTGGTTATGGTCGTGGTGATTATTTCCTTGTTGGTCATGACTTCCCCAGCTACATGGATGCTCAAGCAAGAGTAGATGAAGCCTACAAGTAAGATCCATAAGCTCCCAATTTTGGATTTAAAAGTTATGTTCTCCTGCTCGAGTACTTTGATTCACATACTAGCATGTGGCTGAAAAAAACTTGAGGTCAGCTGGACCTACAAAGGAAATTCAACCAGAAATAACGAATTACCAATCATTCTGAACTTAGCTCCAAGAATGACTGTTGTTCGACATGGATAGTTCATGTGGTTGGCATGGCCACTTAGAACATTCCGTGTAAGCACGATATTTTAGTAACTACCAGTACATTAACAGGTGGTAATTATGCTTGTATAACAGATTTAGAGGCCAACTTCAATCATGCTTGCAGGCATTTTCTGGGTGGTCAGATTAGCCTCATCAGCATGAACAAAGCTCATAATTTAATTTATCATTGGATTTTTGGGATGAAGATTTACTGTTCTGGTGTCATCTGTGCTAAAATTTTATTAACTGAAGACAATTAGCAACACTTTAATCCAATTCTATGATATTGTTGCAGGGACCAAAAGAGATGGCTCAAGATGTCTATACTGAGTACTGCTGGTAGTGGTAAGTTCAGCAGTGATCGCACCATCTCTCAGTATGCCAAAGAAATCTGGAACATAGAGGAGTGCCGTGTACCATGATGCAGCAGATTGGCCTACCTGCACTGCTTGCTTAGCTCTAAATACAAATATATATAGCATGGAATAAGGTCATATTATTCACAACTATACACGCATATATACATATATGTTAATAAGCCGTATGCTCTGGCTCTTTTTTGTAGAGCGTGTTTGTTTTACTTTTACCTAAAAGCATTTGTTTTAGCAAATAAACCTGCTAGTTGGGTTATTTGTTAAAGAAAATCATGATTCACCGTTACCTACTTTTAGAAGGACCCACTTCGGCGGTCTTATTTTTCTTTTCTTTTAGACTATTTTTTGGAATATTAGTTTTTTTTTCTCTTTTTAGGTGAATTCATTTAAACATGTGGAGTTTTCTCCTGAACTGATAACAAATTTTGCTTTTAAATGATTTTGAAAGTTGAGACAGCACATAGACAATAAATTTGAATGTCATCAAATTTAGTAAAATTTAAAATGTATTTATTTTGTAATTCTAACTAACAAGTAAAATATTTAAATCTCATTTAACAACCCCCAGGTAACTGCACATAAAATTGTATATGATTGCGATTGACAACCATGTCGTTAATCTCTTTGATGTGCGATTTATTTTCACCATATTGTCCTTCACCCCAAGAGCATCCTGTATTCATATTTTAGCACGTTGATATTGAGAGACGGAAGACAAAGTACATCCAAGGTCTCTATCACACAAGTTATCGCAGCAATGGATTTATGACCCAATGGTTTCTCAA